GCCCCAAGCATTCCTGCTTGGCCTTTTGCAGGCCTGCCAGGGCTCCCAGGGCCAGGCCAGTGCCTGAAGCTCTGTGTCTGCTTCTCCCAGGATGTGGTCTCAGCCCTGCAACACTTGCTGTTGCTTGGTGTCCTTACAAGCGCTTGTTGGAGCTAGTGTCAAAATGTGCCAGAGCTGTGCAGAGGGAGCCCTTCTTCTGAGGGGTTAGCGGCTCTGGGCTTTAAAACCCTCGAGCCCAGTGCAAGTTATGCTGTGCGAGTAGAGGCTGAGTCCAGCTTGCTCACCAGATGCTGCCTCTGGGGTCTGAGGTTAGGAGGCAGCTTCTTCCTATGCGGCCCTCGCTGGCTGGTTTGCAGGGTGCCAGGGCATGATGCATCCGGGCTGCAGCTCCGGGGCACCTGCCCATGTGGGGATGCTTGGCTCGCTTGTAGTAGGCACAGCTGCCTTTTTGTCCCCAGCTTTGCTCTCCTGCTGCTGTCAGCTGTGTGCAGGCACTGACTCTCCCTGCTCCTTTCCAGGTGATGAGCTCCACTAACGGTGAGTTGAACACGGACGACCCGACTGCAGGACATTCAAATGCCCCCATCACGGCGCCTGCTGAGGTGGAGGTAGCAGACGACACAAAGTGAGTCCTCCGTCCCCATCTCCCCCAGCTTGCGGGCGGTTCCTCAGGGTGGTTTGCTTCTTCCCCTGCAGCTGGTGCTCACATCCTCCCCCCAAGGCAGAAAAGGGCCTGGGCTGGGTTATAATGGCCTGTAGATCCATCTAGCTCCTTGGCTGCGCTGCCTGGGATCACCATGCAGGGGAACCCAAGAGCCAGAGTTGGGCTGTAAGGAGCTTACAAGGGACTGGGCACAGATGGATCCTCTGCTCCGTTCTAGTTCACCCACAAATGATTGTGCTGTCTGCATTACTAAGGCCTCATCGTGGCCTGCCCCCACCCTGCTAGGCACGGTCCAAGAGTCTTCTCTATGCAGTGGCCTGGACCATTCAGTCACCAAAGGGATCGTTGCCTTGTGTCACCAGAGCCCAGGCTGAGGAAAGTCAGGTTCCCAGGGGTCTTGACCCCGTTAGTGCCTCCCCGGACCTCTCCCAGGGCTGGTCCTCTCAGGGCGAGAAGCAGAGACTAGGGAACCAGAGGATGGGCTGAGAGCAATGCTCCCTGCTGGCTGGAAGCTTTGGGCTCATGAGTGTTGCTGGGGCTGTCTCTCCCAGCAGCTGCTCTGGCAGTGCCAGCTCCAGCCGCCTCGCAGGCAGGTTTGAGACCCCCGTCCCTGGGCCACAGCGGCTGTGGGGCAGTCTGCCGCCTGTGAGGACCTTGCCCTGAGCTCCGCTCAGTAGAGCCCAGCAAGTGCCCTGAACTGCGAGCTTCAGCAGCCCCTCCTGATGCCATGCTAGCTCGGGGATTCCCGGCAAACGTAGGATCGTCCAGCTCCGCTGGGAATGGTGGTCCAGGAGAAGGAAGCTGAAGTGGGCCGTACGGGCAGCAAGGCTGGGGCATTACAGGTTTGCACCTGCCTTTTGCAGATGCTGCTGTTTCTTCAAGAGAAGGAAGAGGAAAACCATCCAGCGCCACAAGTGATCTGCCCGGGCCGGCACAGATCAGTGCGTGCAGCGTCTCCTCCAGCTCCAGCCATGGATGGATCTGGGTTCGGATCCGCTCTGCAAACAGCCTTTTCCCACCTCGATGCCGACGGGAGAGGGGGAAGGGCCGTCGTGACTTCACCACCCGGCGCCACGCACGGGAGCGGGGAGGGGGCTGTTCTCAAACTGCTTTTCTTTTCCTCCATGGCCGCCGTCTCAGCACGGGGCCGGCGGCTGGAGCCCAGTCGGACATTGCCGAAGCCCCCGCGTCCGTCAGGCGCACAGCCCACGGAGAGCATGAAACAATCGGAATAGGCCACCCAAGCCCGGCACATGCCCGTGCCATCACCGTCTTTGGATTCAATGAACTAGTTGGAAAACAGGGATCAACTTCACAGACTCTGCAGTGGTGCCGTCTTAGAAGAAGCTGAAGACAATTGCCGGAGCGGTGGGTCACGGAGAAATCCTTTCTGTTGCTTCTTTGTCTCTTAAGTTAATTTAAAGTGAGTCTCGGTGCGGAGTGCTGAGTCCGTCTGACCTTTTAGCGTGACGAGATCCTGCTCTTTCTTTTTGGAGTCTCCCAGCGTCTCCTCCCTCCCCTCCCCCCAAGCCCCCTTCCTGCTGGTGGCAAGCAAGCGGGAGCCAGGTCTGGTACAGGGAGGCAGAGGGGAGACTCGTTTACACGTCCGTTTTACGATGCACTTTTGCGAGCAATACAGGCAATGTTCAGGCTTGATGTTAACAGGTCAGTGACGAAGAGGGGGGCGGCGGGAGAGGGAAGGGGATCATGGTCTCAGGAATGGCTGGGGGGCTCCCCTGGCCCTCAAAAGCCCTGGCCCAGCCACGCAACCTTGGCAGGCTACCTGGTGGGCACTTGACCAAAACCAAAGGGAAATTTGAAGGGACGTTGAAAAGCAAAGTGGTGGGGGAGGGAGGGAGGGGAAAAGCTGTCTTATAAGGAACGGGCCCTGCTATGGGGTTGTGTCCCAGAGCGCAGGACAGCCAAGCTAGGATGCCTGTGTAAGCACGGGGCCAAGCCAGCACCCTGGCACGAGATTTCAGTGTCCACACTGGTGTGACATGTTTGATTAGACTCTTACAAATGCTCCTCCCGCCATCCAGGCGCCCACCTCAGCGACAAGCAGGGGTCTCGGGCTAAGGCACAGGGCCTCTGCGGGCCTGAAGGCAGAGCTTCTGCGTGAGCCAGGCATGATGCTGGAAGGAAGCACTGGGCAGGCTTCCAGTGGGGCTCGAAGGGCAAGAGGAGAGAGGCCGAAGGGTGCTAGCACGTTTGGGCAGTGGACGTGGTTATTCCACGTAGGGCACGGCCCTGGTGCTCGGAGCAGGGAGTGCTCAGCACTAGCTAATAACAAAGCCCTCTGAGCAGGACACGGCCAGGACAGACCCCCACCCTGCCTGGGGTCAGTTCTCCCCTAGAGTGGTGCTGCCAGGGCTGGCGGGGAGGAGGTGGAGGTGGGTACAGGAAACCTGAGGAAGGCTGGGACCCCGCTCACCTGCCCATGCCCCTCAGTCTCTAGTTGGGCCCAGTTCTGAGCTGTAGCTGGTCACAGGCAAAGGTCAACTGCAGATTTTTTCTAAAACCCCCTACGCACGCACATGTGCACACACCCCATTTCTAAATAGCCCTTGCACCCCCCACCCCAGCCCCACCTGGAAACTGCCCCCATAGCTGAGCTGAAGCCATGTGGCAGGCCAGGGCGCCTGCCTCCTGTTGTGTGCATTTGCCACGGCTCCACTGGACTTTGCTCTTTGCTGGGGGTGCAGTTAGCAGGGCAGCAACCGCGCACGTTCACAGCTGGGGCTGGAAGCCAGAGCTGCGGGCTTGGGGCTGCAGCTGCGGAGGGGAGGGAAGCTGCGGTGCCCACGTCCAAGACTTGAGCTGCAGCAAACAGCTCCTGCCCTCACCCTTGCGGTGCAGAGCATCGGGGGAGCGGGGCAGTCACTCCAGAGCCCACTGGGTGCAGCCTGCTCCCACCATCCCAAGATCATGGGCCTGAGCAGGCTCTACCCCGACCCTACCCTGCATTCTTGTCCCTGCAGCTCCTGCCCTGCCACCGAGGGGGATGTAACCCAGCTCAAACACCGTCAGGCCGGGCAAGCACAGGGGGACCCTCAGTTACTAATCAGCAGGCAGGAGTGCTGCTGGCAGCACTGCCCTCCCCCGGCTCTTAGACACTGCAGCCGTGTTGCCGCCCAAGCCCACGTCCATTCATTGAAGTCACAATTTAGAGGTTAAAACAGGTGTAAGCAGCCACCCTGCTATGCTGCCAGGGTTTGTGCTGGTTGAGAGCCCCTGGCAAGGCTCAGGCCCAGTCCACACTGCAGCCTCCTGCCAGCAACACACCAGTGTCCCCCATCCCCCCCTTACCGTCCCCATCTGCTCCTGCACCGGCTGCGGATTCACTGCATTGCAGGGCAGGGGGAGGTGGCGCCACGGCCGGGCAGCAGCCGGCTGGTAGACAGGCTCATGCCTCCTGGCTGCATTGGAGGCCAGGCCCACTTCAGACCCTGCGGCACAGCCGGGAAGGGCAGACGCTGCCTCGTTCTTCTGGGCTGCTCCGTGGACAGCTATGCTAGAGGGACAGCGCGGGGGAGAGGAGCTAGCTCCCGTGGCTGAGGATGGCCTGGCCGGCAGTACCTAGATCGCAGGCTAGGTCACACCAGCAGGCTTCAGCCACGTGCAATGTCTGACCTGGTTTCCCAAGCAAAACTGCCTTAAACCCTCTCTGGAAATGCACTCCCAGGACATGCCGGCATCCAGGCCACGTGGGGACAGGTGGAGCCTGGGCCTGCCCTCCTCCCCGTGGATCTTCAGACAGATCGGAGGCTCAAGAGGAAGCAAAAGGGAAGGAGCCAAGGGAGTCTGCCCACATTTCTCTTCTGACTCTCCCTCCCCGTCACACGACACATTGGTCCCTGGGTCTGGCTGGCTTGGAGGGGGCAGCACGACACCAGGAGACATCTGTACGGAAATGAGTCCAAATATAAAGAGATTGTACTTGTGTAGCTCCAAAGCAGGACGTTTGTTCCGTTGCGAGTTTAGTTACTGCTTTAAAACAGTGTACAGAACTGGCATTTACATTTCTCTGATGCTTCCTCGAAGCCATAGAAATTAGGGGCTTTTTAAAAAAATAAAATAAAATAAGTAAAAAAATAAATACAAAAAAATCCCAAACCTGGCTCCCATGGTTGTGCGCAGCAGGGAGGGGGTGGGACGGGCACGGGTCTCTCCTCTCCGAGGGGGCAGCAGAGCAAGTGCCCGTCTCAGGACAGCCTGGTTCAGCA